CAGCCTATTTCGCTCAAGTTGATAAAAGTTTGGTAGTTGAATTTTCCCACAATCATATGAGCAGGCTTCATCTTTCCACCTTGAATACCACATCTGCCCAGTACCCGTGGCTGAGTAGTGGAGTGGCAGATCAAGGTTCATCTAAATGCTCTTCTGGTCGAAATGTTATACGTATTCACTAAATCTGACTAGGTTTCGATTAATCTTTTCAGATAACATTTCTCTGATTCCTTGTCTGTTGTGTGAGGGTGATTGGTTAATATGTTTGCAGTTCCATCTTTTCCGAAGATGAAGGCGGATTACTATAGATCAGCAGCCATTTTATATTACCTTAGGGTTCCAGTTTACGTAATCCCCTGGATATGTTCCTTTGGTTTAGAGCAAAAATGGTCTTTGCTTGCGTTTTCATACCACTTTACACACATCCTTACAATAATAATAAAAAGAACTGATTATATATGCATTTCTATAGTTGCATTCATGATTATTCGATTACAGGCATTTTATATAAGTCATGGTAATCTTGTGCTTGTGTCGATGCGTCGGTGAGCGCGTAATGTGGATGTGTTGTCAGAGATTGAAACAAACCGGCCATTACTTTACCTAATTATAACTGAGCACAAAGGCCTTGGTCCAGAGTTATCAAAGTTTAACGACACAAGGAAGAACTTAGTTGCAATTGCGTTATTATGAAGGATCATCTGGTTGCCTTTTTTGAGCTTATCAGATGTGTTTTAGACATGCATTTCAAAGTTAAGACATTTTGAGACTCAGCATTTCAGATTATTCAAACCATTCTCTCTTCTTAACTTTATCAATCAAGCATGAATACTTCGAACTAGCTTCCAAACCTCAAGCTGTTAATAACAATAAGCTCTGTCATTCTGCTTATTATCGATAATAGCACTAGGATGTCCAAGCTATCGGTGCTCTTTGTCAAAAGCGGAACCTTTATACAGTACAATAGTAAAATAAAGTTGTTTTTCGAGAATATCAGAACAAGGTTATTAAAAGTTATAGTCACCCTAGATCTCATAACGTGATGGAGGACCGATAGTTGAATCTTTCGCATAACTAAAGGAGCCTACCTCATTCTAGGTCAAAACTACCGTCCATGCTCAGACCTTGTGCGGCCATGACATCAACTAAATATATGCGAATAAAATTTGGGTTTCAAGCAATCTTTTGTTCTATGTTTATGAATTCCATATGTCGTACTTCTTTGAAGTTGAAATGTTCTTTTGTTATCAAAACGACAAGCCAATAAAAATATTTAGATGGTAGGTATTTTTCAACTTGTGCTGAAATGGGATTTGCAAATAAAGTTGGCTTTCGAGGACTCTCTTGTTTTATAATTATTGAATTTACTTCTACTTCGAGTGAAAGTGTTTTGGCGAGGAGATTTGAAGGTCAATCACACCAAAAGACAACTTGGAATTTCCTTTCGCCAGCTGTCGAAGGTCAGTAATTAGACATTCTTGTTGACGCTGTCCCCAATGCAACCTGTATAAATTTAGGTAAGGCAGTGCTGAGTTTTCGTCCGTCAGCTTGGGGACCTCATCAAAACAGGGCATCATTCTTACTTTTTGTTTGTTAGTAGGTTTTCTAGACTAAGAGTAGATCATTTATATATTGCATGTATTCACTCTATTTCGTTTAAGGTGATGAAGAGACTGGCAGTTGAATTTTCCCACAATCATATGGATAGACTTTACGTTTCCATTGAATTTCGCATTGTCTAGCTTTCCCAGAACCTATTCTCATCCAGGGCCGACGTCAGTTTCGACATTGCTTAGGTCTTATCACCACTCCAGCAGGACTCGAACCATGACAGTGCAACGTATTATTCTGAAACATTGAACATTGCGCCACATTGCCACAAGTGCCCTTGAGTTACAGGGCAGACGTGAATTTCAAGGAGTAGCAGGCATTTTCCCATATCACATTATGTGGTGGAATTTTCGATTACATTACTTATTTTTCGTTTATAGGTAGGCTTTAGAGACTACCAGTAGATAATTTAGATATGAATGAAAACGCCTTTTTGGAAGGCAAGGCTTGGTGAAATTTAATGGAAACATAAGGCCCAGTCAACTACCAGTACTCTTATCATCATAACTTAGAAAGGGTGCATAAACCTCATATCATTGATATAGCAATATACAAGCAATGGAGTCATAAAAGCGTCTGTCACGTTCATTTCTAATTAATGAACGCACACGCACGCATGCCACTAGATTGGCAAAACCTAAACTAACCAAATCAGATTTCTACCTCCTTAAAAAGCATATTTTTTGGCAATTTATAAATATAAACCAGTGGGTTTTCTTGAATGTGGTTGTCCTTCGTATGTCGGGCGAAAGCTTAGCACACTTTCGACGGAATCAAATAAGTTTGCCTCATGGACACTGTCAACATGAATATTCCAGCAATGCCAATCAACAGCTCGCCAAGAGGAATCTGCCTTCGTTTTCTGGTGGGATGGATCTTCGACTCTCTTCCTTGGGCACACTTTCATTAAAAATAGAATCTAATCCCCTGTTTACGCCTTCCTGCAGGTTTCAAGTTGCGACTTGCTCGCCACCGCCAATCCCACTTTTGACTGCGCTCCACTACCCCTAATCGCCCGAGGCGGCGCTTTTCTGATTATGGCCTCCCGAGGCACATGTGGCTCGGACAGGTTTCGTCTGTAGCACCGTGTATGCTGGCGGAATCAGGCAACGGATCAGCCGGGACTTAGGCCCAGTTGGCGCCGGTCGTGTGCCGACTTGGTGCGCCAGTTTACACGGACGTAGTGCACACTCCACATTAGACTTCAGGCTTGGCTCTGTCCGTACAGAAAATAACAAACGGTGTCGCCGATCTTGTGGCTGAGGCGCCTCAGAGGCGATCGGCGCAGGGCAATCTAGAGCGGAGTCTGCATTCTCTCTCCCTCTATCTGGTCTTCCAACCTTTTGGTACCCCAGTTGACCCAGGGCTGTTGATCTGATGCGTGTGTCTGTCAGTGTGTATCTGTGCCAACATCAAGCGCCAAGGGGAGCAAGCCAGCAGAGATGGCCCCTTTAGTGTTGTGCTATCGGTTAGGCGAGTTGGGAAAAAGGGAGCAGAGGATGAAATGCTGCTAGTATGGCCCTGATGGACGACCCACAAAATGGCATGGCCTTGAAACTTGAAGAGAGAATTAAGGGACAGTAGCAACATCGCTACTTGCATAAGGTGGAATAAGCCGGTCTCATCGGCAGCCCATTCATTGTTGAAGAAAAAACGAATAGCTCAATTCGTATGCGTCAATTTCTAGAAATAGTTGAGTTCATGTTGGCAAAACAAGCCTTGAATGGTATATGAAGAAAAACTGGTTTTTGACGACTATCTTGATGCTTTACTAAGACCACAGAAACCAAGGGATGTTTGATTGCCATGAGTGGAAGAGCGATGGATTGTGCACAGAATATACTCGGATTATTGTCCTGTGATACTGACCGACATTGTCAAGGCAAGTATTCAAACTTTACGAAAAGGCACAAAAATATCACAGCCTATTCTGTTGGTTTATTATATTGGTGCGCCGTTTCGAAAGTATGTACACAAAGAAGACCTGCTTCGCTTTCCGGTGGGGCCGACCTACTAATTCGATCAAAACAACTTTTTCTTTAACATGAAAAATAGAGTCACATTTGAATGGGATCCTTTATTTGCCATTAGGTGAAGATCAGAGTGCGCTTGTTTGTTGCTTCGCAGCCTCCAAGCTTGATATCTTTAGACTTCTGGAAAGGCAGCCATTTCACCAGTCTTCGCTCTAACGTACGTCGCTCCGCTTCTGCCATCGTCTTCCTTAGTGAGAAGTTATACCATTAAAGTCATCCATCTGCCCTGCTTCGAAGGTCATCATGCACCGCCTAATTGATATTTAGATAAAATAAGTTTTAGAGACCATCAGTAAATCTTAAATATAAGTTATGGTCACTCTAGGCCATATAAGTCAAAGAATGACAGATTGTTGAATTTTCCCACAGTTATATGAATATGCCTAACGCTTCGATGGAAGTTCATTTAGTCTTTTCGTTCAACAAGGCATTCTTATTCCGAATGGATCTGACTGCATTTTCGACTTTGCCTCATCATTTCATTAGTACTTCCAATACAGATCAAATTAAGGTAAGGCAGCCTATAATCTGTACATGTTGTAGAAAAATTCAATCATAAGTCTTTCATCACCAAATGTGACTAGAATTCCTATTCAAGATCTACTGATGTTTGAAAACATATTTATTCAAATATAACTAATGTATTCGGCTGTAATTGGAAAATAAAAACTTTCCTTATTAATAGTCTCAGCATAAATTTGATATGGAGATAAATTGGCCTTGCTTCAAATTCACTCCTGCCCTATGACCCAGAGGAACTCGTGGCAATTTGGTGTGGTGGCAACACGTTGCGATTATATTAGGTTCGATTCCCGCCGAAGGTGATGATGGGGTCGAAACTGCAATCCAGCCCAGTCAGGATGAGAATAGCTTTGTTGAAAATACAGCCAAGCACAATTGTCAAGTCATCTTCAATTTCATATGAAATCGTGTGGTGGATCGTTTTCGTTTATATTGCCCCAGAGACGATTTACTTCCATTCCGATGTGGGAGACTGCGGCCAAGGCAAATTCCGTACTAGTTTTACGGTAAGATCCACTCTCGAGTATCTTTATTA